TTATCTTTATAATTTGCAGCTATGTCTATGACATTTTGAGGTAATACTCATTTATTTTATGAAATATGGGCAGTTTTCTTTTTCCCTTGTCTACAGAGGTAACGAATGCCTGTGTCTCTTGTCTCCAGCCCACGGAATGGTATCAACCACGTTTACAGCAGGTATCTCAGCTCAATTCATCTAATCTGTTTATACCTCAGAGTCATGGCTAGAGATCTGTTACTATGGTGACTCTAAGTCCCACCAGTTGACAATCAGGATTAAGAATCATAGAGGCCTTCCTCCACTGGATTTTTTATGCATGTTTATCAAATATCAATTCAGGAGCTGTGGCGGTGGCTCGCTGGGTTAAGGGCTTGCTGTGTAAACATGAGTACTGTGAATGGCTCCCAGTTGCCCACTCAGGACTCACTGTTGCTGTACTCATCTGAAACCTCAATGTGGGGGTGGATGGGGAGAGACAAGAAGATCACGGAGTCTCATTGGCTGGCTCATCTATTGGAACTAGTAAGACCCGGGTTCACTGAGAAACCTTAATTACTCCACCCCTACTCCTCAAGCTAGCTAATAAGATGGAAATGACGACACTCAGTGTTGACTCCCGACCTCCTCGTGTGCATTCAGCGCTGAGCACACATCTATGCATATTCATAAGCCCCCTTCTCTGCCACTAAATAAACAAAATCAATTGTATGTGTATGGACTGTTTCTGGGCTCTGTATTATTTCTCACTGATCTGCATGTCTATGTAATCATCACAATCGCACTGTGATTACAGCAGCTATCAGTCAGCCTTAGGCGTGGGTAGACATTCCTCCAAACATATCCTTGTCAACATTGTTTCAGCTATCCCAGGGTTTGGGCTTTTTCCAGTGAATTTTAGAATGCTCTTGTCTATATTTGATGCAAAAATACTCATGAGATTCTAACAGTAAATTTCATAAGCATACAGATGAGTTTAGGGAGAGTTGACTTCTAATATATGTGGAGTATTCTAATCCATGAACATAGTATATGCCTCCAACTGTTAACGTCTTTGGGCTCTTTCTTCAATAGTTTATAATTTTAAGTATACAGAATCTATATGTGCTTTTAAAAGATATATCTGAGCACTTTATTTTACTATTATTATCAACGGTATTGTTTTCCTAAAAACCTGGCTTCTATACATTCATTTTTGGTCTAGCGCTCCATGGTTTTGTATGTTGATTCTTATAGAACCCTGATGAATTCATATATTGGTTGTAACAGCCGTGTTACAGATTCTCTGGGACTTTACACCTGTCAATCATGTCGTCTATGAAGGAGACTAATCTTCTGTTCCTCCTGTCTCCTCTAAGGCCCCTGTCTATGTTCTTGTTTTATTTCAGCGCTCAGGACTCCCATGACTGCATGGTGAATAAGAGGTATTGAAGTAAAATATTTATTCTGTTCCATATTCCTGGGCTTAATCCTACAATCTTTTAACATCAAGCTGTAGGCATTTTGTAGATTATCTCTATTACATTTAGATAATTATTTTAAATAATATTCATGCTAATGGGTATTGGAATTTATCTAGCAGTGTTCAAGAAAAACAATGCATCAGTTACTATAATCACATGAGTTTTCTTTTTGACTTATTGAAATATCTTGATTGATTTTTAGTATGTTGTCCTAACTTTATATATATACCTCAAAACTCCTTGATCATATTTTTATTCATTTCTGAATTAAAACTGTTTATATTTTGAGAAGTTTTGATTCTAGATGCATAGGTGATATTACATAATAGTTCTCTTTTTTTCTATTATTTTTGTCTGCTTTTGGTATCAGTGTGATACTGGTCACACAAAAGACATGACAAAACGTTTCTTCCTCCTGCCTTTTCTGGAAGATATTTTGTAAACTTGATATCAATTTCCCTTCAAATGCTCAGTAGAACTGCCTGTGGGTTCCTGTACCATGCTACAAATTCCAATACTGTGAGACCAACATAAAGAAGCAGCAGCCACTTCCTAAAGTAATAGTTATCAAGCAGGACATCATTATGACTCCATCATTCTCCTTTGAACAAGAAACGGTTACAAGCCCTACCAATGTATGAGCAGCGAGAGCTACTAGGGCTGTACATATCACACTCAGCGGCTTGAGCAACCTCAGTTCTCCGCATTATGTCTGCAGTCAAGGTGTCTAGTGTGGGACGGCTGCTTCTCTGTGCTCTGAGGAGTGTCTGCTTCAGGCTCAAGTTACAGTTAGTCATTTTCTCCTGTGTCTTCTCACACTCTCCTCTCCATAGACGCATGTCCCTGTATTTCAGTTCCTTTCTTTAAGGTAGCAAATGATTTTTAATTTTAAAGGAATTAAAGGCTTTGTTTTCGCTCAATTACTTCTATAAAGACTGTGCCTCCAAATAGTGCCCCATTTTAAGAGCTCGGACTGCAACACACGAGGTGTGCATTATTGTTGTTCCTTTGCTGATTTTGTTTTGCTTTTGGGGTGGGGAACAAATTTCAATCATCATACTCTCTGAAGTTAAGCAATAATGAACACAAAAACAGAAACACCGGCATTTTGTTCCTTGAGTTCTGTCCTTGAAATTGCCAGCCTCCTTATGCTACCTGAACAAGAAAGAGAAGCCCCATCCCTCAAAGCCCGTTTTCTACCTGTCGAGGTCCCATCACATCCCGATTTTTACGATGAACTCTGGCTCTGTTATCAAGCTCCCTGAGTTGGAACTTATGAGAGCTGAAGGCAGAGTTTTATTAGGACTACAGCAGGCAAGAAAACACAGAGACACACAGATGAGGAAATGGTGTGAGCAGCTCCCAGCTGAGGGCAAGCTGGAGACACTGCTATCTCACAAGGGACCCCTGGTGACCAAGTACCTACTTGGGGAGCCCAGCGTAGACACAGCAAGGACAGCAGACACCAACTAAGGAGAGCACTACCACTTTGGCAAGGCCAAGGGGAGATCACCACCACGCCTTCAGCCTCACCGCGTCCCCATCTCCTGAGCTAAATGGCAGGCTGAGGTGGAGCAGGGTGATAGTGGCTGTGTCTAGCTCTACTCTAAATTCCAGGGGCCATGGAGCTAAATCTTCACTGAGATCAATGAAATGGAAGTTTTATGAACAGAACACAATAGTCCTCGTCAGAGAGTCCTGGACAAACAAGCGAAGGTGAGGAGCTATGGGTAGAGACCAGCGTTGAGGGAGCAACCGCCTCGCAAGAAACAGCAGTGTGACCGACCAAAACAGAGGAAAGTGAGTGGCTGAAAAATGGCCTGAGGTCAGGCTTGGTCCTCATTGAATAAGAGGCTTAGAACATTAAAAAATGTACATATGCCACCCGCTAATGCCACCCAGCATCCTACGACAGAAACCCACCCCTGTCATCAGGTGGCGCACGCCTTTAATCCCAGCACTCAGGAGGCAGAGGCAGGTGGATCTCTGTGGGTTCAAAACTATCTTGGGCTACTGAGCGAGTTCTAGGACAGTTAGAGCTGCTACACCAAGAAACCCTGTCTTGAAAACCCAACAACAACAACAACAACAACAAAAAAAAAACAAACAAAGAAGAAACTACATAATTTAAATTACTAAGGTAACTATAGACATTCGGACTGAGATGTAATCCAAACCATTTCTCGGGTTATTTGCTTTCTAACTGAGATATCAATTTTTAGCCTGACAATAACATATTCTTAATGTGAAAAATAATGCATACACATGCTTCTGTGAACAATTATAATTGCCACTGTAGTAAATAAGTAGAAATGGGATGTGATTTTTCACAGTCATAGGCGTGTGTCTTCTATCATGGTGTGATAAACACAGATTACGGGAATTAGTTTAATGAAGTTAAACTTGTTTTACTAGGCAAAAGCCATGGTTGCACTTAGCTTTAAATACAAAAGCTGCCTTATTGGCCGCACACATTCATTTCCAGCTGTGGTCAATGTGTACCAGGGTTCAGCAAACAAAATCAGTACACCAACAACTGACATTCCTGCATTGCCTCATGTATGTCGAAGCCATGTAACCAACAAACAACTGTCAGATGGGTTTGAGAGCCCTTCTACCTCTTTTAGGGGGGATTTGCTCTATTTTCGAGACAGGATTTCTCTGTGTATGTAGCTTTGGAGCCTGTTCTGGAACTAGCTCTTGTAGACCAGGCTGGCCTCGAAGTCACTGAGATCCCCCTGCCTCTGTCTCTTGAGTGCTGGAATGAAAGGCCTGCGCCACCACCGCCCAGCTCAAGGGGGGGGGGTGTCTTTTACAGCCAAAGAAGAAACCCACTTTGAGTGGAAACCTTCTCTAGAGATACCAGTAAAACTCAATTCTCATTAGTTCTGTCAGAGGAAGCCAGCACTAAGCAGTGCTGTGGAGGAGGAGAGGTTGTCCAAGGATAAGGTGAAGAGTTTGAAAGGCAAGCCAAATGCAAGAAATGTAAACTCTCCTCCTGGCGGACGGGCGAGAGGTGGGAACTCAGAAGAGAGGCTTGCTGGCTGGCTGAGGGGCTGGTTCCAGCGTCAGCTCTACTACAGCGCCGAGGGCAGCCCTCCAAAGAGTAAGACAAGTCACGGGTGCTAGATTAATGCTTGCTGACGGGATGGTAGGTTGTTATAAATAAAGGCTGTGGCTTTTTAGATGCCCTCGAGTAGGATGCCAACCAGTAGAAAGCAGTGAAGAAAGCCTCATTCTAAGGGAGGAAGTAATGGTTACCATCGATCAATTTTAAACACATTTCAAAAGCTCACCCAGTATGGGGAAAGAGTAAGTGCATGGACCAATGTACCAGTGTGTGCACGTGTGTGTGTGTGTGTGTGTGTGTGTGTGTGTGTGTGTGTGTAAATTCTCTCAGGGTGAACAAACATATTCCCAAATTTCACCTCTAGAGAAACAGCCTACATTGTGGTAGTAGTTTTAAGATAACCAATACATTGCTTTGAAACCTTCATTTCCTGTAGCAGAACCATTTTTCCAAAACAGCAGTGGTGTGCGGGGCCTGCTTCCTACCTGTGCTGGTGTTGGTGCCTGGGCAAGGGCAAGCGCTGGCCAAGAGTGGGCCTGAGCCCGGGGCTGGGGGCGGAGGCTGCCCATCGCTCAGCTGCTTGACCCGCTTTCGATGCGACTTGCCGTCATAGTGGACCTGGGCCTGGGCCGCAGAGTTTAGCTGGATGTTGCACACATCGCAAAAGGAGAAGAGAATCTTCTTTTTCTCTTTATTGCACGGGTCCCCAGGCCTGTCGTTCTTTAACCCCTTCTCTTCAAAGCCCCGTAGGAAGGCTTCCATATTCATAATCCCATCTTCACGATGGCTGTCATGGCTTAAGGAGTACTTCAGAACTGAAAGGAAAGAAAGCATGAAGGTCTACAAATTTATATATGCTTTCTTGTCTTCCAGCACTATGATAATTCACTTTTAATGGCTGAGTTCAGCAGATAGGCCTTCAAAAAATTTGAAGCATTTTATATCCCCCTCTGCCTCTCTTTTCTCACCCCTCCCTCTCACCTCTCACTCCCTCTGTCCTTTTAACTCCTGCCTACCCAGGAGATCTTGGCTAGCAGGGGTTATCTCCAGGAAACCCATTCTGAGCCCAGAGTAAGGACAAGGTCTGGTCATGTGCAGCCAGGAACTGATACGGCTTTCCTTCATGGTGTCTACCACATTGCAAATTCCATGTCCAGGAATATATTTATCTTGTGTCTGTTTCCCTCACTAAGTGTAATCTCTGTGAGGACAGCAACCTCATCTCTGGGTATGTTTTAGGCCTAGAACTGAACCTTTTTATATAGTAGGCATATGAATATCTGTTCAAAAAAGAAAGGAATGTTTTGAAACCAAAGAACCCATTAAGACAAAAATGAACACAGAGTGCGCGCGCGCACACACACACACACACACACACACACCCCTTCACACAAGCAAACAGACTAGGATTGACAAAGACTAAAGCACAGCATGGCCACAACTTACACTGGATTGTCTTCTAAAAGCCCCTTCAGAAGACAGCCATCTGGAATTCGCACATATTTTCTTGTAGATGTAGTGAAGCAAACCGTTCGTAAATTTCCAGATTAGCCCATGAATATCAATTTAATCTTTGATAAACTTGAAATGCAGAGCATCTGAAATAGAATAGAAATACAATATTACAGTAAATGGGTGCATATGTTAAAAGAGTAACACAGACACTAACATAATTATATTTTAAAATGCCAACCTTTTCTTTCAATGATTAGATAACAAAGTCAAGAAGAATGATACCCCTCCTAAGGGATTTAAAAAGGAATTTTTTCAGTGCCTTGAGACCCTCAGTTAGTGAAAGTGACCTTGCCTTTTTATTTATTTATTGTGCAGTTACACTTTAAATTGGGTAAATGTTCATTTCAGCTGACCCCAGAATCGCTGGCATCTTCATGCCATCCATGTAGTTTTGTCAGTGTTTGGTCTCTTGGGTTGGATGAGGAGCAAGCCACTCTTCGAGAAGAGGAGATATGTGTATGCAGGCACAGTGAAAACACTCCAGCACCTCACTCAAGGGACTAAGGCAGGAGAATTTCAAGTTCAAAGCCAGGATGGGCTATATACCAAACCTCACCTCAAAAAACAAAAATGAAAATTAAAAACAAGGACAAACAACTGGCCAAGAAGGATGAAAAAAGTCATATAAAAGAAGAATCAGGCCGGGCAGGGGTGGCGCACGCCTTTAATCCCAGCACTCGGGAGGCAGAGGCAGGCGGATCTCTGTGAGTTCAAGGCCAGCCTGGTCTAACAAGAGCTAGTTCCAGGACAGGAACCAAAAGCTACAGAGAAACTCTGTCTCGAAAAAAGAAGAAGGANGGAAGTGGCGGAAGGAGGAAAAAGAGGAGGAAGGAGAAGAAGAAGAGGAAGAAGGAGAAGAGGAGGAAGGAGAAGAAGAAGAAGAAGAAGAAGAAGAAGAAGAAGAAGAAGAAGAAGAAGAAGAAGAAGAAGAAGAAGAAGAAGAAGAAGAAGAAGAAGAAATCAGGACTCATAATGACTTGCAATAGGTTTTTGTGTATAAGATAAACTTTGAGGATTAAAATATATCATTGGCTTTGAGCGACTATTTCATTCAATTGGCTTTGGGCTCTCTGGAAAGGAGAAATGAAGCCCGAGTTCACAAGCAGTTGTGCACAAGCTCCATAATGAGAACTCAGATGAGTGTGACCATAAAGACAGACGTTGATTCCACGCGCAGTATACCAACTACATCTTCAACTTTGCCCATACGCCCAGCTGTGACGGCAGTTCACATCTTCTTACTTGATACTTAAAACATACTCAGCCCATGGAGAGTCTTACCGGGTGCCACCATTTTAAGGGACTCTATTCCTTAATCAGTTTTCTTCCTTTAAATTTACACCCACAGGCTGGCGAGATGACGCAACAAGTAATGACGCCAAGCCTGACAACCTGGGTTCAGTTCCCAAGACTTACACATTGGAAGGAGAGAACTGACTCCACCTCCACACAAGAGGTGACATACTTCCCCTATAGCTAAAAGATGGGTGGGGATCTACACAAACTATGCATAAATAACAAGTAAGCAATTTCCATATCTAAGCTGGAGAAAAAGAATTCTTATTAAGATGTGACTTGAATTACACATATACTACACATCACACGTATTACTCAGAGCTGTGCTGGCGTGGGTCACCTTTCTTAGCTGGACATTGGCTTACAATGATCAGGTGGGAGCTTAAGCAAGAATGAACCTCTTAATTAATATTCCAGTTGAACCCTGACATGCTCACTGGACAAAGTAACTTTGTCCATCCCACCCATCAGGCACAGAGTGGCTCTCAAGCCTACTACCAACAGGTTTCTGACCTGGCCTTCAAGGCTCTTAAGGCATGCACCCCACGGGACCCTTCAGCTTACTTCCATGGTTAATGGTCCCATCACTGCCCTCCTCGCTTCCTGGGTACCCTCCTTGTGGACAGACAGCACATGGACAACACACCCTAAGGCCCCAAAGTAGATAGATCGTGATGGGGATGGGTAAACCAGGTCATTGTGGTATAACTGCCCCAGGAAAAATCTGGTAAGAAATGTGCCAATTGGTCATGGATCAGCCTGCAACTCAGGACAGGTAATGCATATTCTCCCTGTTCTTGCTCTTATTGCCCCTCTAAACAAACTGATTTATTAGAGGGAGAAATTGGCACTTTAAATACCTTGATGAGACTCAGTTGTGACCCTTGCTTTTCTTCATTTTGTATGATACCTTTTGAGGTGAGGGATGTTAGTTCAGCATGCTAGGAGCTGACTAAATATATTACGGGCCCATGATCAACTGAGTTTTTATATTATTCATTACAACTGACACAAAAAAATTCAATTAGAACAGATAAAGGCAGAGGTTATGGCCTCGTCTATTCATTTTTTGAAAAAGTTTGGCATAGTATAAAAGGGCTATTTGATTCCTCCTGGATGCTCACATATACCTTAATTGGCAAGGTAGTATTGTTAATCCTTATTCTTTTTAATTGCCTCCTGCAGCATTTTGATAGCAGTGGGCAGCAACTGAGGTTGTTAATGGCTCTTAGGCATCCCTCTCTCAGTCATCCACAGGAGGTTAGCATGCCTGGTTGTCTGAAATTCAAAAGGCTATGCCTAGTTCCCCAACCCTGGTAGCTCTCTAGCTCTTCGAGGGATGGTACTCAAAGTTAGGTAAGAACTTGTTCAGCAGGCCAGTCTAAGACAGGCACAGTCCAGTCGCTCAGCTGTCCTGAGGCAGAGTCAACAAGGCGTGAGAAAAGAACTCTGGCTCATGCTGAGTGCCCGTGTTCTAAAGAAAAAGAGTGGATGTGTAGGAAGATAAGGCCTACAAGGCTGAGAGATGAGCCAACTTGGAGTCTGCCTGAGGGCCTAGCAACAGGCATGGTCAGAGGTCCTGATTGTGCCTAGTCAATGAGGGACAACCACACAATGTCAATGGACTGGAACGCAGCCTGGGTGCTGGGACGAGGGGTATATAAGGTCCCCTCATTGCTGAATAAATAAGTCTGCTGTTTTCCTTTTACCTGATGCCCGTTGTCTATGCCATTGGCGCCATACCTTCTTACCCCTCCCCCGAGGGAGTAAGGACCCAGCAAGACACACCTGTAAGTACTTTTGGTTTTAGACTTCAAACCCACAACCTCGTCACACTTCAGAACGTCAGTGCCGTAAGAAAGCTATGTTCAAACTTTATCATACTCTCTCTTTAAATATCTGAATGGCGAATGAGCTGAACTGATCAATAGTTTGTAATGAGGTAATCAATGCTGCACCCCAGTGAGAGAACACCAATCCACAGCAAAGCAAGAAAAAGTGGGACCTGTGAACCTCATAAAACTAGTCAGCAGACCTCCCTAGCATCACTAGATCCCACTCAAGCAACTATTAAGACCTGTGAGTCCCCTAAAGGCTGTCTCCTTCCATCTGAAAATGTGAACTCTAAAGGTCTCTGGCTTTGCCCATGTTGTAAATAAACACAGTGTTTCATAGAAGCAAAGTATCCATCATATACTTATAAAGGAATATCCCCCTTTATATCTGAGAGTGAAACAAGGCCCTTCTGCATTACAAAAGGTAAGCCAGCTGCCTCTACTTTTCTGGCTACTGTAATTTGTCCCAGAAAGAAGTTACATTTTACATTGGTTTACTCATGCATACTCTAGGCAGGAAATTGGGAGCCTGGAAAGCTTGTACCTTCTCCTAGAGCAACACAACCCAGGGATCCTTCAAGCCCAGAACCACATCCATGGGCCACTCTGGCAAGGGTGTGATGCCTTAAGCAATGTTCGCCAACTCCTAGGTACCAGTTCAAGATCTGGTTTCAGTCATTACATTTCCTGGCTTCTTAGGTGAAACAAAGCCGGTTCTCACTAACGTCACTTGTAACCAGAGTACATTTAGTCACAGAGGTCTTGGGAAAGGGACCTAGAGGTGGCAAATATCAGAGTCTTGACATCTGCATTGGGTCCAAAATGATATAATGCCCAGGCTCACACCATGTGTGAAGTGATGGTGTTTATAATGTCAACTTTCTGGATAAGGGTAAGGTTAACAGTTGAGTCTAAGTGGAAGAAGAGAGAAAAATATCACTTGCTATTTTAATTGTTTTTTATCAGACTATCTTAGATGGCATGTTTTGTATGTATGCATGGGAAAGAAAGCCCTTCAGGCAGGGCTGCTGATTTTTGAGAGCAGTAAGCAATATGCTGCTTTAGGTGAACCAGGTGTCTCTGGGGACAGGAAAAGGAGAAGCAAACAGACAAAGTATTTTGTGCCCAATAAATTTGGGTATGCTGTTTGGTCATTTTCATAGAATTTTAGGAAGTCTTTAATTTCTTCCTTTACTTCTTCCTTGATCCATTGGTGATTCAGGTGAGCATTGTTTAATTTCTATTTGTTTTGAGGGCTTTCGGAAATTACTGTTGCTGTTGTATTCTAATTTTAAGCCATGGCAATCTGATAAGATACATGGGGTTATTCTAGCTTTTTTTTTTTTTTTGTATCTGTTGAGGTTTGCTTTGTTGCCTAGCATGTGTTCAATTTTTGAGAAGATTCCATGCGGTGTTGAGAAGAAGGTATATTCTTTTATGTTTGAATGGAATGTTCTATATATGTCTGCTAAGTCTATTTGAGTCATAACATCTGTTAGTGCTTTTATTTCTCTATTAGGTTTCTGTCTGGCATACCTGTCAAGTTATGGGAGTGGGGTGTCGAAGCCTCCCACTATTACTGTGTGGTGTTTAATATGTGATTTAAGCTTTAGAAGTGTTTCTTTTACATAGAAGATGCCCTTGTATTCAGGGCATAGATGTTCTGTATTGAAATTTCCTCTTGATTGATTTTTCCTGTGACCAACGTGAAATTCCTTCTTTGTCTCTTTTGATTGATTTTAGTTTGAGGTCTATTTTGTTAGATATTAGAATAGCTATACCAGCTTGTTTCTTAGGTCCATTTGACTAGAAATCTTTTCCCCAACCCTTTACTCTGAGGCAATGTCTGTCTTTGATGATGAGGTGAGTTCCTTGTATGCATCAGAAGGATGGATTTTGCTTACGTATCCAATCCTTTAGCTTGCGTCTTTTTATAGGTTTATATTGAGGGA